GCTGCTTATTTGGATTGTTATTGAACCAGCAAACCAAAAAAAATTACCTTAAAATATTCAACTCAACTCAACAAATATTTTAAAGTAGCTGTTATGTACAAGTTGCTTCACTAGGCAATGGAGACAAAAAAATAAATGGAGAGAGAGAGAAAGAGAGAGAGAGAGAGAGAGAGAGAGAGAGAGAGAGAGAGAGAGAGAGAGAGAGAGAGAGAGAGAGACCTTCTGCTCTCTTGGAGAATAAATTTTACTGGACATGAGGAAATTAGTTTTAAAATTCCCTAGTCATTTCCTGCTTTCAGATGTATGACCCTATCATTACTTTAATGTATTCTTTTGAATGGGTAACGGTTAAAAAATTAATTGTTATTCCATATTTGCAAAGTTAAATAAGTGTCAATTCTGTTAATCTTAAAATGCTTCAACAAGACTAGGCCATATCAAGGAACATTTCAAACTTGCATAATTTTGCTACTTAAAAAAAAATCAAAACATTCAAACTAATATACCTTTAAGATGCTAGGATAAAAAGGTTATAAATGGGGGCAGCTAGGTCATACAGTGGATAGAGCTTTGGCTTTGGAGCCAGGAGAAACTTAGTTCAAATGCGGGCCTCAGACACTTGACACTTACTAGCTGTGTAACTGTGGGCAAGTCGCTTAACCCTGATTGCCTCAGCAAAAATAAATAAATAAAAGGTCATAAATGCAGAGCTAGGAAGAACCTCAGAGGCCATCTATTCCAATCCCCTTATTTTATTCAGAGGAAACTGAAACCCAAGACAGATTACTTACCAAAATCTCACTTATAGTGTGTGTCAAAGGCAACATATGAACCCAGGTCCTCTCACTCCGGAGTCAATGTTCTTTCTATAATACAAAAGATTTAGCTGACTTTAGCTAAAATGTCTTTCCTTGAAAAGAAGAGTGTAAATAATTTTACTTTTCTATAATTTTCCTCCAATAAAATGTAAGGTACTTTAGTGCATAGGCTGCTTGATTTTTGTCTTTGTATTCCCAGAACATAATACACAGCATGGTACAAATTAAGTCCTTGATAAATTCTGATTATTATACATGCATATATTTCTATGTGTCTATTACATATTTGAATATTCCAAAGTGTGTACATGCATATATACATAATATATACATATATTATGTGTGTGTGTGTGTGTGTATATATATATATATATATATATATATATATATATATATATATATATACATATATATACATATATGTGTGTGTGTGTGTGTGTATGGAGTGTTTACATATATATGTATACATACACACATTTTTTTTACTTGAAAGTACCTCCGTAACTACAAATTATTTCACCTGAGACAAACATATTTATAGGGGGATAGCAGTGGCAATGAATATGTTTGAGCCCCAGGTATACTCATGCTGCATGAAACAGGAGGTTTGAGGAAAAGGTGGGTCCAAAGAAGAGCAGAACAAAAGTGAATAAACTTCAGGGTATGTCTACCCAGAGGCAGTTGAATCATTTGATTGTCTGGGGTAGACATATGTTGTCCTATACCATATAATCACCCTGACTCAAATCTTATTCAACTCATGCCAGCCATAGCTGTGCTGAGGAGTGATAGAAAAAAAAATGCAGTCACCCAATTACTTGAGATAGTAATTCATTCTTTTTATTTCATTTTATTTTCATCTAACAAAAAGATTTTCTCTTCCTCACATGGCCCCCTCACACATTGGAAACAAAAAGAAAGAAAGAAAGAAAGGAAGGAAGGAAGGAAGGAAGGAAGGAAGGAAGGAAGGAAGGAAGGAAGGAAGGAAGGAAGGAAGGAAGGAAGGAAGGAAGAAAGAGCTTGAAACAAATATACAGAATGAAGCAAAAAGTTGCCAACTGGCCATATCCAAACATAAATCTTATTCTGCATCTAGAATCCATTACATCATCAGGAGATAGGAAGCATAGCTCACCAGACCTCTGAAAGCATGGTTGGTCATTGCTCTGATCAGAGTTCTTAAGTCTTTCCAAATTTGTCTTTACAACATTATTGTTATTAAGTAAAAATGTTCTCTGATTCTGCACATTTCACTCTGTATCAATTCATACAATTCTTCTCAGGTTTTTCTGAAACTCCCTTTTGCCATATTTCATGGAATAATAGTATTCCATAACATTTCAATATCATAGTAGTTATATCAATGGGTATAAGGGTATGCACAGTTTAGTGACTTTTAAGGCATAGTTCCAAATTGCTTTTGAGGTTGGGTAGACCAATTTATAGTCTATCAATACTCTATTAATGTACCTGTTGTCTTATGGTCCTTCCAATATTTGTCATTTCCCATTTTTTTTAATCACCTTTGTAAATCTGATGGGTATGAAGTAGAACCTCAGCATTACTTTAATTTGCATGTCTCTAATTATTATTGATTAGAAGCATCTTTCATATGTTTGTTGATAGCTTGGATTTCTTCCTTTGAGAACTACCTGTTCATATTACTTGACCATTGATCAGTTGTGAAATGCTTCTTATTCTTATAAATTTTAAACATTTCCTTAAATATATAGAAAACAAGACCTTTATCAGAAAAACTAGCTGCAAAGATTTTCCCTAGTTCCTGTTTCCTTTATAATTTCAGCTTCGTTTATTTTGTTTGTGCAAAATCTCTATACAATCAAAACTATCCATTATATTTTCTGTGATATCATCTCACATTTAATCATGAACTGTTCCCCATCAATAGCTCCAAAAGGTAATTTCTTCCTTTTATATACTTTATACTGTGGTAGCCCTGACCATAAACCAGTATGATAATCACCAGCTAGGTTTTGTTCATGTGATACTTTTATCCTTAATTCTGATTTTAGAGAAATTTATTCTTTAATGTGTTTACATCCCTTTGGAGGCTCTATGTTTTCATGTGGGTGGGGGGTGGAGGGGAGCAGAAATTCACCTCCTTCCTAAAGAGCTAGTATTGTTGTTTTTTCATAGCCACATTTAATAACAGTGAAGTTTAGAATTTTGTAGTTAGAACAGGGAGGTGGGTGTGAGACAAAAGCTGCCTCTTGTTTGGGTATTCACTCTTTTCATCCCCTTACTACCTTATGCTACTGTTCTACAAAGGGTTCCACACTAACAAAGCTCACAGTGTTATTAGTACTAAGGGCTGTCACTTTACAGCAGCAAAGGATGCCAGCATCTAATTAACTCTGTACATCAGAGAGCTGAAACTGAATTCCTCTTTAGGGAGATAAAAATCTCTTTAAAAAAATTGTGGTCAGGGAGTTCACCAGGAGTTACTATTTTGACTCCAACTACAGTAAAGAGATTAATTTATGATCAAAGGATTTTCAAAGTTGTACAGAATCTTAGAGGTTGTCTAGTACAATCCCTATTTTATTGATGGGGAAATAGAAGCCCAGAGAGGTTAAAGGATTTGCCCAAGGTCTTATTACCTAGGGAATAATTAGCAGAGACAGGATTCAAATCCAAATAATCTGACTTTAAATTCACTGCTCTTTCCATATTACACCACCTTTCCTATCTAGCCTATTGATATATTTTTGGACTCTGATTCTGTAGTCTATTTTATGAGTTACCTATCCCCTTAAATGGAGGACTGTTTCTCATTGATGACTTTCACAGCTAAAGCCCCAGAATTGGTTGTTGGCTTAGACTCACAGACTTTCAATTTTTACACTTGAAAGAAACCTTAGAGATCACTGAATCTAGAGGCCTCATTTTACAAATGAGGAAACTGAGATATAGAAAGGTAATTTGTCCTAGGCCAAATGACTATTTAATGAAAGAGGTAGAAAAAGAACCTTATTCCTTGCCCAGGACTCTCCATTGTATTACTCTGCTCATTATCTAAGCATTAATCTATTCAATTGTACTGATATTTCTGTTTTCAGCCTAATGATTTTTTAACTGCTAGATGGCATTCTGTTATAGTCATCTAGGAAAGTCTTAGTAGTTCAAAAGGATGTCAAAATAATTATCTTAGTAAGCAAAGAAACATCAGTGAAAGTGTTCCTCAACAAATACTGTTGATACTTGTGATGAACATAGCAATCACCAGACCAATGAGTAAACCATTAATGTGAGAATAGAAGTGACACGAAACAAAAATAGAGTGCTTATCTCTTGGTGTTTGTTGATGGTTATTAGATTGTGACACATTCTTTTCTAGCCATTCAAACCCTGTTTCTTCCTACCTTTCCAGTGTTCTGGATAGCTAGGTGGTACAGCGGATAGAGTGCTGGGCCTGAAGGCAGAAAGGCCTGAGTTCAAATACAGTCTCAGATACTTGTTAGCTCTGAGCAAGTCATTAACCTCTGTCTGCCTCAAATGGGGGAAATAATAGAAGCTACCTCTAGGGTTGTTGCAAAGATTAAAGAGATAATATTTGTGAAGTACTTAGCACAAGTACCTAGCACATAGGAGGCACTAAATATATGTTTGCTCCTTCCTTCTTCCTTCATTTTATACTGGCCCACATACTCTGCAATCCATCTACACTATCCTTGCTGTTCTTGGCATATGACTATATATATATAAAATCTCCTTACTCTATGCCTTCTGACTGACTCTTCCCCAGGACTGAAATGCTTTCCTTCCTCACTTTTACCTTCTGGTGCTCTAACTTCCTTTCACATTCAGTTCAAATGTCACCTTCTACAAAAGGCACTTCCACTATTAACTAATCCATTCCCTCTAGGATTACCATGTTTTCATTGTCTATGGGTATGTCTTAGATATACAGTCTTTTTTTGCTTTTAACATGTTATCCACCACCTTATCCTCCCCCACCCGACAATGGGTTCCTCCATGGCAGGGAAAGTGTCTTTCCCTTTCTTTGTAACCCCACCAACTAGTACAGAGCTTGTCACATAGTAGGTGCTTGTTATAGATGATGATCTTTAAATGTGAATTGTACACAGGACATTCCTGATTTGTTGACTGATGTAATTTGTCAGTTGATTAAATATAATGACTTTCTTTTTTTTCCTTTAGATACTAGCAAATGTCATCATTTTCATCTGTGGAAACCTGGCAGGAGCCTACCACAAGCACCTCATGGAACTGGCTCTACAGCAGACCTATCAGGATACTTGTAACTGCATTAAGTCCAGAATCAAGTTGGAATTTGAAAAGCGGCAGCAGGTAAACCTTAACCCTTATGTCTTATGCCTCTGTTAGTATTCTCATTAGAATTGTACTGATGTGGTCATTTTAAATATAAAGAATAAGCAGTCCAGTGAGTCAGTGCTATGGTCATTGCTATGTACATCCTATACCCAGCACTGATGGAAATACAAAATAGAAGACTTGGCCACTTGTCAAAGAAGTTTTCAATCAGGTATAGTCCAACAACTGGAATGTGTGAAGCACTTACAACCTCCCAAGAATTGTGGGAAAACAAGGAGTTTACATTCTAAAAAAAGAAGATAAAAAGAGTATGTGGTAGAGAAAATCCAGAGGCAAGCCTGGAGGTTCTGGGAGGAATCATCCAATCATGAGATGAAGCAGGAGCAGAGGGTACTTCTGACACATAAATTCCAAGGCTGAAGTGAGGCTTCTGACTGAAAAGTTGGGGCTTGGCAAAGGAAGTCTGGAATAAAGCCTGTAAAGGAAATATCAGCACTAGATTAGCCACATGCTTAACACAAATCAATCAGCAAGTATTCGTTGAGTCCCTACAATGTATGCAGCTTTGCTAGATCCAGTGGGTGGGATACAAAGTAAATATGATTGAGTCCTGCTTTCTGGTAACCTCCCTGGGCCTTGGTTTCTTCATCCGTAAAATGAAGGACTTAGATTGGCTGGCTTCTATGTACCTCTCTAATTCCAGGTCTGTGATATTGTTGTTCCTTCTATCCAAATGCAACACCTGCTCATGTCTGCCCATCTCTTAGTACAGCCTCCAATGCCATTAATTCCTAACATTATGCTTCCTAAGGAAAAGCCCTGGTCTCTTTTGACCAATAGATTTTTCCAGCTCAGGGCTCCTGATAATTAACTGGCACGAAGTCCATGGTGGGAGAGTCGCCTAGATAGTGGTAATAGGGAAGGAAATAATAAAGTTACCTAGGGAACCTTGGGTCATTTTTTGAAAAGTGCTTTAAAGTTTATCCAGTACATTACCCTTATTATCCCATTTGATCTTGAAAACAATTATGGGAGGATGATGCTACAGCCGTCATTATCACCACTTTACAGATGAAAAAACTGAGGCTCAAAGAAGTTACATTACTTTCCTATGCATTGCCCAACTTATTTAGAAAGAGCCATATCTGTAATTGGAATGGAGCTCTGTCCTGACTACAAGTCAGCTGCCTTTTTCTCTTTTCCATTATGCTATGCTGACTTAGGTAAGTGTGCTATCTAAATAGTGACAGAAAAGAGAATAGCAGGAAAATAATAGTAGCCTTATGTTATACTAATAGTCTCTTCTGACAGTATGCATAATTGAATGTTGAGAAACTGACAGATGATAAATTCCTCTTTTACAATATAATGGACTCCAGAGCATGGACCATATGTTTTGCTAGCTTTGTAATTCCCACAGCACCTACTGCAGTATGTGTTCTGTACAGCTTAATATTTAGGGGAAAATATAAATGAATGTGTAACTAAGATAATTACTGCTTTGTAGAAAATGCTGGGAAAGGGAGAGCTGGCAGGAAGGCATAGAACTTACTGGAGTGAGTGGCTATAGACAGGCAGACTTTGTATGGCAAGGTTGGAGATGAACACTGCACAGAATATTGAAGCAAAAGAAAGACTTTGATTGGCAGAGCAGAGGGGCAAGTACATTCCAGCCTGGAAATGGCCTAGGACTGCCGTTTTCTCTCCCCATTCTACTATTCTTCCACCAAGAATAATCTGAGTGAAATATGAACAACAAATAGGTTACAATTGTAGAATCAGAGATCCTCATGATAGGAAAACTCCTTTCAGATCTTGTGATCCAACTTGTACCTGAATAGGAATCCTTACTACAAATAATGATGATAATGATAACAATAAACTAAGTTATGACCCCATCTTGTTTTTATTTTTATCATTTCTTGCTAGTTGTTTCATTTATGTATGTATTGGCAAAATTAAAAGATCATCCATACTTTACCTCCACAGCATCTACTTACTATGTATTACTGTGCACACAAGTAACACTCAGTAAATATTTGTTGGATGAATGGAAAGTGCTTATGGAATGAATAGAATTGACTGTGAGTTGTGATCATTATCATGTCCTAGGAAGACAGCTAAAAGCAGGTGGTTAGTTCTGATATACAGGCTCTCCCAATAGTGCTTATCTTAGGATGTTTTCCATGTCTTATGAGATTCAAGAGGAAAGGGACTACTGGGGGAAGGGGAATATATAATAAAAGGATCTGATAGAACATAATTACAGATTAACAGTAGAATTAAAGAAAAAAACTGAAGATGATCCTAAATAAGGTTATTTTTCTTGTGCCACCTCTGTCAACAGACAAATCAAAAAATGGTCACGATATCTAATATATTTACAAATGAGCTCTATATGTGGCACATTTAATTTTAGGGCATGGTGGGACATCTTAGTGAGGAGTCTGCTGTTTATTTGATTTTCACAAGATGTCTTTTATTGATCTCTGAGAACCCAGTCTATAACAGAAATTAGCCCCATGGTTCTATTTAAGGCAACAGCTTTCTGTGAACATTCACATTAATGTTGGTGCCATTAGCTTTTATTTCCTTCAATCAAAGTTACTTTAAAATATTGTGGCTTTGGGAGTCATCAAGCTCAGCCTTAGTATTGAAATTGTTGCTTTGTTTGCTTGGGTTTTTTCCCCCTATTGGACTGATCTCATGGCATTCATTTCTTTTTTGGAAACATGAATTCCATCTGCTCATTCATACAGCAATACCATACAACCCCATAGTTTGGACATGAAAAAAGACATTTCAGGTGACCACATGAAATGTAACACTGTGATCTGCACCTGGATATAAATGGGCTGCAGAATATTATCAGTAATAACATGTGTGACAATTAACATAGAAAATCACCCAAACATATAAGACTATGGAAGGCAGTAGGCCAGTTATGTAGCAGGACTAAGAGATAATAGATGGAAAGTATGAGACCTCCCAGAACTACTAACAGAACCAGAAGCAAGACCCTAAGAATTTTGGGTATAATCTCTATGAACAATTTACAGAGACCTGAACAAGAGTCACTCAGGATGAGATAGGAGGAAGTGATGCTCATTGATGATGATAAAAGGAATCTTAGTGATCATTTCCTGGGTCCATTGAATAATAATAATAGAATTTATATATTGATTTAAGTTTTGTAAAGCAATATACCAATATTATATCACGTGATCCTCACAAGTCTCTGAGGTATGTGCTATTATTATCATCCCCATTTTACAGATGAGGAAACAGGCTGAGAGAGGTGAGAAAGGATTTGCCAGGTTTACACAGCTAATAAATATCTGAGTCAGGATTTGAACCCAAGTCTTCTTAACTACAAGTCCTGTGGTCTATTCACCCATTTTTGCTCCACTAAAGTGTCATTCATTTCAGCATAAAAATTTCCCATTAATTAAAATTTCCCTAATTAAAAAGCATACACTTTCATGGTTCATGCTCATTTATCGAACTCCAGACAACACTGAGGTCAATGACCAAATTTTAAACCATATATCAGGCAATTGCAGGGATATAACAAAAGCTCTTTCAAATCTCAGGGTTCCTGCTCAAATGAGGATCAAAAGAAAAGGGATTTGGTTCCCTATGTGTCTCAAAACCTCATGTGTAACTTTGGACAGGCCCCAACACCTGTGGACCTCAGTATGTTTAGCTATGAAATGTAGCAAGATGATTTCTAACATCCGTTCCAGGTCTAAAATCCTGTGATTTCTTCAGCCCTATAACCTGCCCCAGCATACTACAGGATTGGAGTTCCTAGTCAAAGAAAGCAATATGGAAGTGTTATACAGGCTCAAAGGTTGAAAACTTCTGTCTTAAACCATCTTCATCCAAATACACATATCAAGTGAATACAAAGTGTATAGGATTTCATATGGTGTGCTATGGGAGTGATATAAGGATGATTTTAGAGGTAGGATTATAGGATTTAAAACTAGAATGGTCTTTAGACATTATGTAGCTCAACCTCTGCACTCAACATAAAAGGGAATTGAGGCCCAGTGTGATTAATTGAATTGTCTAAAATCACACAAGTAACATCCAAGCTGGGAGTTGAATACAAGCCTTCTGACTCTTTAATTAGTGGTTCTAAGATCATGGTAGAAGGCAAGAAAGTGATGTAGAGCCTTTTGGAGGTTCAGCTTGTTGCCATGATATGTGTATCTTGATAGTATAAATAATACCATGATGCCCTGTGTTTCCTCCCCCAACTAGTGTTTTCCAAAGTATTCTGGAGAATCTGTAGGATTGATCAGTCCTAGAAAGGAGAATGAGATGGAAAAAGCAATATGAACATGAACAAAGTGAAAAGGACAATGTAGGGATACTAATGACTTTTATAGAAGACAAAGAAGCCGCAACTGATCATTTGTGTTTGTTTTAGGAAAGAGTAAAAGACTGAAGTATTAAAAAAAATCTTGAGAAAATATATCTTGAAAGATGCTTTATAAAACTTAGTGAGATGAGACATTGCTTTAGAATTAAATTAGGTCACTGTTAATTTTGAGCTTTGTCTTTGTTCAATGTTCTTCAGTGATCCTTAGAGAGTCACAACCATCTTTTATGTACCCTGACTGTACTATAAAAGGCCCCTTGTCAAGTCTAAAGAGGCCTGCAGGTTTTTGTGACTGGAATCTGTCAGGGCCTTTCGTAAGTTGATGAGACATTGATGTAGAGCAACACAATTGCCCTCTTTCTCCATTGGTTAAGCCTGTTATACATAGAAGGGAGTCAATAAGTCCTTGTTAAAGTGAATTGAATGGAATATTACTTCTTATAAAAGAATGAAAAGCTTAGGTTGTTTTTTTTTCCCATTCTTTCAAAAGAAATTAGAAGTTCTATTTGTAAACTGTCCTTTTCTGGGGTGTAACTCATGGAATTTTAGATTTTATCAGTTGTTTTCAAACTGTTAACAGCGGAAAGATGATGAACTTCATAAAATAGCTGACATTTATATAGTA